AAAACACATAATATGACATGTATACATTCACGAGACATTAACGAGACATTTCCGCCACACCTCCAATGTTTAAATTTCAACATACAAATGTGTATGTATAGACATAACACCACACGTATACATACATATGTCATATCCGAAACTGCCCACATATGTTTATATATGTATGAGTCCCGACGGACGACCAAGTATGTATATGTGTCTGCATACATCGATGTTTGCGTTAGTACGATGAATGACAAAACGACGAAATTTCCCCCACCACTTCCACAATAACACCAATACACGCAATCTACATAAACCCAAATTTTTTAAAACATTAATCAGTTTGTCTGACGATCGCTAAAGCGTGAAACCCAGGGTCACAAACTCACATATATCCAACCAAATATATATATATATATATATATATATATATATATATATATATATCTCACGATATTTATATACAGATATATTTATTCAAGATATTTATATACATTGAGTTTTCTTCATGGATCTCTCTTTTTAATATTTTATATTAAAAAAAGCTACTTGGATTATTTTCACAACTTACGGGTTTGATATTATCTCTCTCTCTCATATACATATTTATATATCCGCGTACACACACACACACATATATATATATATATATATATATATATATATTATACTCACATATAAAGACATCCTCACATATTGATATTGACCAGTTACTCGTTTTCTGGGTACACCAGTCGGCTAGTGTCTTTAAGCAATTCTTGTTGCAGATGCCTCGATCAGGCACATTTGTGTTTATTCAACCCGTGGTTTATACTCCAATTAAACTGGGCGGACAGTTTCTGAGAAGAGATCAATCTGGCATGATCGGTAGTCTAAACAAAGCCAGTAGGCTCAAAGCCTCGTGCTTGAACAACCATCAACGCCTTTTGAAAGATTCCGTCTACCCAATTTCACTCATAAGTCTTGGGTCAGCTCGTGGTATGAGGTTTCAGGCTCTTTCCAAAGGATCGTCTTCCCCCCCCACATATATATATATATATATATATATATATATATTAGTAGCAGCCATAATATAAGGAACGGAAACAACAAAGACATAAATATGTGTATTACTTAAAGAGTAATGCATCATGAGCAATGAATTTTTTACCGAATAAAGATTAGGGTGTAATGCATGAATATTATACAAAGTTACAAAAATTTACACGTTCGACTGTCTTGTCAAGCAGCATTCGTGTGTATAATTTATGTGTCATAATTCTAATTTGCCTCTGAGGAATTATAATACATATTCGTTTGTGCCTGTCTATGTGTGCGTACGTCCATGTACGTCTTTATATGTCTATGTGTGCGCTCGCGTCTGTGTGTCTGTGTTTGCGTCTAGTAGTTCTTATCCATATTCGGTGGTTGTCCGCATGTTGACTTGCGGACGTTTTGTATGAGGGCGAAAGAATTTAAGATGCAAGTAGACATATTCTACATTCTTTAAGTATGGATTTTATAAATGTTGGGGATATATGTGTATATATGTACTCAGAGTTGGCAAAACATTTATCTGAACTCCCTCGAAGTATTTTCTGCGCAACAAATTATGTACCTTTCTAATTTTGGTGGCAATTATAAAATCAAAGTTATTGCCTGTTTTGTTTCTGTGTATTGAGAGCGAGTTTAAAGGGTTGTTTTTTAAACGTAGATCTCTCTTATGTCCGTAGATGAGGGCGTTTAGATTTCTAGATGTTTCGCCAATGTAACTTTTCTTACATTGCAATTTATTTATGTCATAAATCCCGGCATCTGATTGGATCTATTTTTTCTTCCTAACTATATTTCCTATTGTATTGGAGAAGGTGGTAAAAATTCTAGTGTTGAGGATAACCAATTTATTTTAAATTTTTGTTCATAGAATATTCGCAGTTAGGGTTATGTATTTTGTGTTTCTATTTTCATGAACTTGTAGGCATTCTTTGTTCGTTTTCTAACGTTGAGGACGAAATGACGTAGGTAGGGAAGAATTCTGAACGTTTTTTTCCAATTTATTTCTCTTCTTCATTTCTGTATTCTTGGCTTCATATTCTAAGGACTCTGAGGTTAAATTCTATGATTAGACTTAATTCTATTTTTCGGCTGTGGTGGGAATAGGAATTGATTAAATCATTTCTTTTTCTGCGAGTTTAGGGAAAACTTTATATGTTTGTGTGAGTGTGTGTTTTATTATTATATGTTTTAGTACATGCACATAGAAACATACCCGGTCATATCCGGGTGGGGAACGTTGTTTTGTGTATTTTGTTAAAGCAATTTCATAAATTAAATTTGTATTTTCAAAGCCAAGATATATACATCCTCCTCTCTAACACAGAAAAAAAATGTCTGAGTTTAGAGACACACATATGTGGGCACTTGGTAAATATACAGAATTATAAAGGTTTTCAAAACGCACCAAAATCAACTCCTTTCCAAGACGACAAAGATACTACATTCAAAATAGTGACATGTTCATAAGTACATTTAAAATCTTTTGTTTCCTGGTTGTTGATTGGTCAATGAGGATTGTATTTTGTTCGGAGATACACGTTTATTTCGCCGAAACTTGCGCGCGGAAATGATTCGTTGTAAATAACGCCTGAGGTTCATTTGGCGCGTCTGACTTTCAGTTACAATTTTACAATCGTTTTTATTGTGTACTTAATATTTGATAAGCACTCACTCACACACACACACACACACACACACACACACACACACACACACACAAACATCATATGTATGTGTGTGTTGAAAAACTCATCTCATTGGAAATACTCGAGTATCCGACAGTATACAAAGAAATATCTGATTTCCGTCATCTGTGTTTAAAATAGCTGTATTCAGTTGTGAATCAATTGGCCCGTCTGACAAGTAAGCGTCGGTTGATAGCTCGATAGCTATAGATAGATATAAATAAATACGAACAGGCTGAGACAAACTGATTGAAGAGAGGGTTCGATCTGAATACACTAACATTAAAGTTTAACGAACAAAGGAAACTAGATAGATAGACGGATATCATCAGACTGGCAGAGGTAGATGGATAGACGGATATCATCAGACTGGCAGAGGTAGATGGATAGACGGACAAGACTGGCAGAGGTAGATGGATAGACGGACATCATCAGACTGGCAGAGGTAGATGGATAGACGGACATCAACAGACTGGCAGAGGTAGATGGATAGACGGACATCAACAGACTGGCAGAGGTAGATGGATAGACGGACATCAACAGACTAGCACAGATAGATGGATAGACGGACATCAACAGACTAGCACAGATAGATAGATAGACGGACATCAACAGACTAGCACAGATAGATAGATAGACGGACATCAACAGACTAGCACAGATAGATAGATAGACGGACATCAACAGACTAGCACAGATAGATAGATAGACGGACATCAACAGACTAGTACAGATAGATAGATAGACGGACATAGCACAGATAGATAGATAGACGGACATCAACAGACTAGACAGATAGATAGATAGACGGACATCAACAGACTAGCACAGATAGATAGATAGACGGACATCAACAGACTAGCACAGATAGATAGATAGACGGACATCAACAGACTAGCACAGATAGATAGATAGACGGACATCAACAGACTAGCACAGATAGATAGATAGACGGACATCAACAGACTAGCACAGATAGATAGATAGACGGACATCAACAGACTAGCACAGATAGATAGATAGACGGACATCAACAGACTAGCACAGATAGATAGATAGACGGACATCAACAGACTAGCACAGATAGATAGATAGACGGACATCAACAGACTAGCACAGATAGATAGATAGACGGACATCAACAGACTAGCACAGATAGATAGATAGACGGACATCAACAGATAGCACAGATAGATAGATAGACGGACATCAACAGACTAGCACAGATAGATAGATAGACGGACATCAACAGACTAGCACAGATAGATAGATAGACGGACATCAACAGACTAGCACAGATAGATAGATAGACGGACATCAACAGACTAGCACAGATAGATAGATAGACGGACATCAACAGACTAGCACAGATAGATAGATAGACGGACATCAACAGACTAGCACAGATAGATAGATAGACGGACATCAACAGACTAGCACAGATAGATAGATAGACGGACATCAACAGACTAGCACAGATAGATAGATAGACGGACATCAACAGACTAGCACAGATAGATAGATAGACGGACATCAACAGATAGACAGATAGATAGATAGACGGACATCAACAGACTAGCACAGATAGATAGATAGACGGACATCAACAGACTAGCACAGATAGATAGATAGACGGACATCAACAGACTAGCACAGATAGATAGATAGACGGACATCAACAGACTAGCACAGATAGATAGATAGACGGACATCAACAGACTAGCACAGATAGATAGATAGACGGACATCAACAGACTAGCACAGATAGATAGATAGACGGACATCAACAGACTAGCACAGATAGATAGATAGACGGACATCAACAGACTAGCACAGATAGATAGATAGACGGACATCAACAGACTAGCACAGATAGATAGATAGACGGACATCAACAGACTAGCACAGATAGATAGATAGACGGACATCAACAGACTAGCACAGATAGATAGATAGACGGACATCAACAGACTAGCACAGATAGATAGATAGACGGACATCAACAGACTAGCACAGATAGATAGATAGACGGACATCAACAGACTAGCACAGATAGATAGATAGACGGACATCAACAGACTAGCACAGATAGATAGATAGACGGACATCAACAGACTAGCACAGATAGATAGATAGACGGACATCAACAGACTAGCACAGATAGATAGATAGACGGACATCAACAGACTAGCACAGATAGATAGATAGACGGACATCAACAGACTAGCACAGATAGATAGATAGACGGACATCAACAGATTAGCACAGATAGATAGATAGACGGACATCAACAGACTAGCACAGATAGATAGATAGACGGACATTAGCACAGATAGATAGATAGACGGACATCAACAGACTAGCACAGATAGATAGATAGACGGACATCAACAGACTAGCACAGATAGATAGATAGACGGACATCAACAGACTAGCACAGATAGATAGATAGACGGACATCAACAGACTAGCACAGATAGATAGATAGACGGACATCAACAGACTAGCACAGATAGATAGATAGACGGACATCAACAGACTAGCACAGATAGATAGATAGACGGACATCAACAGACTAGCACAGATAGATAGATAGACGGACATCAACAGACTAGCACAGATAGATAGATAGACGGACATCAACAGACTAGCACAGATAGATAGATAGACGGACATCAACAGACTAGCACAGATAGATAGATAGACGGACATCAACAGACTAGCACAGATAGATAGATAGACGGACATCAACAGACTAGCACAGATAGATAGATAGACGGACATCAACAGACTAGCACAGATAGATAGATAGACGGATATCAACAGACTAGCACAGATAGATAGACGGATATCAACAGACTAGCACAGATAGATAGACGGATATCAACAGACTAGCACAGATAGATAGACGGATATCAACAGACTAGCACAGATAGATAGACGGATATCAACAGACTAGCACAGATAGATAGATGGATATCAACAGACTAGCACAGATAAATAGATGGATATCAATAGACTAGCACAGATAGATACATGGATATGGGCAGACCGACATAGATAGATAACACACTGACATAGATATTATCAGACTGACATAGATATTTTTTTTACTATTGTTCCTTCAATCCAAAGCCCAAGAGCCACGCAAGGTTGAGGGTGAATAGATGAAGTTCTTGTAAGGGCGTTTAGTGTGGGTATCAAGAGTTGCTCGATGTTATGTGGGTAAGTATGATAAGTATCAGTTGGCCTAGACTTGAAAAGATACAAGTAGCAGTAGAAGCATCCTCTTGGGACTTCATTCCACAATGCAATGATCTTGGGTAAGAAGCTGCCTGGGTGAAACATCCTTCTCATCCAATAGATTACGAAGGAAATGGAGTGTATGCCGCATGGCGGTTTATAGCTGTCAACGTCTGGACTGGGGTAAATAAGGAATTTATTTCCTCGGTCATGAAAACAGCCATTGGGTCGTGAGAGGGTAGCAATGTTTAATTTGCGCGAAAAAAAAAAAAAAAAAAAAAAAGCTGTAGGGTGGAAAACAATTCATCACCCACATGGCCGCGAAAACGTTTTTGAACTCTATCGAGGATAGAAAGCGAGGATTGGGCATCTTCCATCCAGAGGTGGCAGCATTACTCCATCTTTTACTGTGTTCTGGCGTGAACGTATTTAGATTTTCAAAATAAGAAGCAGTCAAAATTGTAGCTAAACCCACCGAAGCCTGAGACATGAGCGTTGGTGGATACATTGAACTTTCGCCATTTCAGAAATGTTTGTTTATCAGAATAAATAATCAGTAAAAAAATAAATAATAAACACGCTTAATTCTGTTTAACAGAATGAATAATCAGTAAAAAGAACACAAAATGGCAACTACAAAATTTCTCAAATATACAGCCTCTTTCTATGTTAGTTTATGCAATTTTTTTTTTTTTTTAGTGGATTAGATACAAGGACGTTATCCATGAAAACTGGGACATCAGTTTCAATAGGATAAAAGCAAAGATATGTTGCACAGTCGGACCGAAGGAAAAACAAAAGGGAAAGATGGAGATATAGATCATTACAGGTATGACTGGTAGGAAGGTAGATATACTGGATTTACAACGAATGCCTCGCTATGGAGCAGCAAGATAACGGCGCAGAATATCATTATCGTAGTAGGTGGAAACCTCTCTGGGTGTCTCATATTCTATCTCTTACTATCGATTTGTGATTGACAATATGACTGAAGAATTTTGATAGAATGACACAGTGATGTCTCTTCTCTTTCTTCGAAAGGAAGCCAAATTTTTTACCACCATTCCTTTGTATGGAAGTGAAAAAGTGAATACATTAATCATCTTTCATGGTTTGGTTAAAGGAACTCTATTTCTCTCATATATATATATAATATATATATATATATACGTATGGATATATATGTATATGTATGTATATAAATATGTATATGTATGTATATATATATATGTATGTATATGTATATATATATGTATATATAATATGTATGTGTATATATGTATGGATATATATGTATATGTGTATATATATGTATGTATGTAAATACCTATATGTATGGATATATATGTATATGTATGTATATATATGTATATATATATATATGTATATATATATGTATATATATGTATGTATGTAAATATCTATATGTATGGATATATATATATGTATGTATGTAAATATCTATATGTATGGATATATATATATATATATATATATATATATATATTGTGTATATTTAAGCAGCAATTTTTATTGATGCATGTTTCATTAAATAATATAGACAAGTTTTGTCTGTTTATTTTATGTAAGTTACTTTCATATTGTCTGATAAGCTTAATAACATTATCATTGAAAGACGAAAGAAAATCACCATATTGATACATGTTTAAATCCAGTCTAAGCTTTCGGCTTACATAAGTCATTATCAAAGATGACAATTACTTTTCAATATATCAACCAATACACGGACGAACAATAATGATGGTCTGTTTTTGTTGCATGAAAAATTTCAAAGCAACAACTTGCGTATACGAGACGCGGAAGCTAAAAATCGCGTCGCAGCTCGTGACGTCACACATAACCACGCGAGAGTGAAAAAAAGAAGTATTAAGTATGGGAAGCCCATACTTAATAAACCAATCGCTTCTGTTATGAATTATAGGCATTTAAGAATATTTGTGGAGAATTCGTAGTTTATTTTGTTCAGTTTAGGTTTCAACTGTTTTATGTATATAGCTTCAAGAATTTTTAGTTTTTGTTTATTGTTTTCATGTTTAAGTATAGTTGTGTTTTCAACAAGGATTTTACGGAATTGTGTACGCGGCCAGGCATGTTGTTTTAAATGCCTAAAATTATTAGAGTTATCATTCAAATGTAGAGTCAAGAGTCGTGAAAGCGAGTTTGTGGTTTGACCAACATAAATATTATTTAATCCATTGGAGATACAATCTCACAAAGGGCACTTGAATTTGAATTTCCCATATTTAATACTGTTAGTTTCCACACTCGCGTGGCCATGTGTGACGTCACGAGCTGCGACGCGATTTTCGCTTCCGCGTTTCGTATAGACGAGTTAGTTGTTGCTTTGAAATTTTTCCTGCAACAAAAACAGACTATCATTATTGATTCGTCCGTGTATTAGTTGATATATTGAAAAGTAATTGTCATCTTTGATAATGGCTTATGTAAGCCGAAAGCTTAGATTGGATTTAAACATGTATCAATATAGTGATTTCCTTTCGTCTTTTAATGATAATGTTATTAAGCTTATCAGACAATATGAAAGGAACTTACTTAAAATAAATAGACAAAACATGTCTATATTATTTCATGAAACGTATATATATATATATATATCTCCGTAAATTCTATGTTAACAGTTTATTTTCTCGCACTTCTGGCTTGTAGAACTCCCTTCTGGCTCCATGCTTTCTAGTCAACTTTAATCCGCAAATTTTAAATGCAACGTCAATAGCTATTGTCCTCCTAATTAATCCTTTCTGTTACCACTTATTATTAATGTTTCTATTCCTAATTCTTCCACATCCTGTAAATCCTTGTGTCTTATTGGCTCTACAGTTTTGCATTGGGGGATGCCGATCAAAAAAATTCATTGAGGTTTCCCGATAGACAGTTTGATTTGATTAAATGTTATTTAAATCTTATCAACCATTTGTAAGTTACTATTACCGACAAATATTTTGATTTGTAAGATTAATTTTTTTTTTTTAGAGTGAATATTGCGTTTTTTTTAGAATAAAGTTTTTCCACATACAAGTCATACTATTTAACCTATAAGAAGAGGGAGAAAAGATGGATTTATACTTTTCCCAACAGTATTATGCGCGCCAGTGAATGTAACTAACCCAATACGAATTGTAACTTTGCTCACAGATTAACAATTCAGAGACATTATCAATTACACCATCTGCACATCCAAGGTTAAAGCAAGTGGTCACCATCTAGCTGTTGATCAGGCTCGACGTTGCTTAACTTCGGTGATTGCAAACAGGAAGATAAGTAGATTGTCTTGAAAAAGTCTCTGGAAGAAAACTCAGTTTGAAGAAAAAGTTGCACGTGAAGTAAAATGCAGAAAAATATATTGAATCAAAATAAAATCTTTAAACATGCGCATGCGCCGAGAAACAAATAAAATGGTTGTAATTACATCGGTAGAGGCGCCTTTAGTTAGTATGTAAATGTCGTAATAGGCGTTCTCACCTAATGTCAAATTGGCGCCACACAATGTATTTCCATGGTTCTCTGGGAATAAGGCGACTCATATACAGTATTGACATATAAAATATAAAACATTTCCTTACGTGTACAAGTATATATATATATATATATATATATATATATATATATATATATATATATATATATATGTGTGTGTGTGTGTGTGTTTGTGTGTGTGCGTGTATCAATCTATCTGTGTTCATATCTACCTTCAACTATTCATAATTTATATATCTGGCCCTGACCTGATCAAATATAGCTTGGCTATTTATTATCTATCTATCTACATATCGCTGTCCATTTGTACCTCAGAGCATTAATTTTTTATCTATTTAGCCATCGCTGTTCATATGCTTTATATTCATTAATATATATTTGGCTGGCGAAACCATCATTAGATCCGATATATGTTTGACATATTCGGCCACAGAGTGCTTCGTCGATCATGAAAGTTGAATGACTCATAAAGGCAGATTTTTCTCAGAAACTTCAAACATTCATATCTGGTCAGATAACGTTTGAATGGATATATATATATATATATATATATATATGTGTGTGTGTGTGTGCGCGCACGGTGATAGATTGGTAGATTTATAATTATATGAAGCGATAGATTTTAATTATCCGGAAGAGTTTATAACTAAAGAAGCCATAGATTTATTATTAACCGATAGATTTTATTAAGCAATCATTGTTTTTAATAGCGGGCGCAGATTTTCTTTAATGGGATTTCTAGAATAGTCAACGCGGTAGACGTAAATAATTCAATATACTGTTTAATAAATAAATGGAACGATTACTCAATAGTTGGTGTCCACTAAAAATAATAATAAAATACTAAAATCTGTCGGATTAGCAAATAAAATCCATGAATTTATATTATATATATATATATATATATATATATATATATATATATATATATATATATATGCACCATATATATTTACATAAAGTTGAGCCTGAGCGCCAGGAAGTTTTTCTCCCGGAGTCGATCCTCCAGATCTACAAATCAACAATTCGCCCTTGCATGGAGTATTGTTGCCATATATGGTCTGGTGCCCCTTCTGTTTGCCTCGCGGTTAATGATAGGCTCCAGAGGCGGATTTGCAATATAATTGGCCCTGTTCTGGCATCTCGTCTACATTCACTTTCTTACAGACGTGCCGTCGCCTCTCTCTGCCTGTTCTACAAATACTTTCATGGAAATTGCTCCGAGGAGTTGCATTCGCTGGTTCCCAGACGTCATGAGTTCAAGCGCCATACGAGGCTGGCATCCCGCTCTCACCCCTTCACTGTCGATACTCCTAAATGTATCCGTCTCTTCTACTCCAATAGCTTCATGTCTCGCACCTCTCGCCTGTGGAACTCCCTTCCCTATTCCTGTTTCCCTGTGAGCTATAATCTCCAGCTATTCAAGTGTAATGTCAATCGACATCTCCATTTGCCTTGATCTATCCACTATCCTTCTCCTCATCCTTTCTTCTATCACTCCTATCTGATCTTGCTCTAAATTTTCTGTAATCCCTTGCGTCCTAGTGGCTTCCCGCCTTGCATTGGGGTGAAATGCTTAAAAAAAAAAAAAGAAAGTATATAACACACACACATTATATATATATATATATATATATATATATATATATATATATATATATATATATATATATATGTGTATGAAAATAACAAGTCATCGGTACCGAGGATTTGAGGATTGTCGATAGATAACACGCTCTCTCCCAGAAACTGTAACTAATGTCCACTCAGCTTAGTATTTATAAATCCACCCACGAGGATAGAATGTGGCACCAGGCCGGTTTAATGTGGGTATCCCCGAGCCCGTAGGCTCGGCCAAAAATATAGCCTTTTTGAACCCGCCTTGACGGATTCAGGCCCTGTCAACCTCCCCGAACGAAACCTTGCCCTTCGGCAAAGCTTCGTCCGAGTTCCTCTCTGCTAATGCAGAGAGTTCGATAGATGCCGACACGGAAGCTCACAAAGGCAGCGTACTACACTTTGATCATAGCCCCACTCAGCATAGTTGCACTTTAAACCACAGGTGGGTTCTGCAGGTGTTGAAAAGCACAAATGTGTCTGAAGTACCGTCTGTAATAGGGATAGGATAGCTGGATGTATATATATATATATATATATATATATATATATATATATATATATATATATATATATATATATATCATATACACTGCGTGCCAAATTATTATCGAAATAACTCTTTTTCGAATATTTCAAAAACCGTTCAATCAATTCACACAAGATTTTCACACAATGTTGGCAAGACGGTGCTGCGGAATCACAGAAATTTTTGTACTGATCTGCGCAATGTAAACAAACTGGCGCCATATTTGTTATCAACACGCCAAATTATTAAAAAGATTTAGTAAAATTCCCAGAATTTAGCAAACAAAACGTTTATTAATGTTGATCGTGAATGTTTAGGATCAAAAGAAGATAATAAATAAGGTAATCAAACAAATAATAACAGATACAAACAAAGGTACAGTTTTAAACAAATTAATAGGGAATGTGATTTCCCTGTTTTGAAATTACTTGGAAAAGTTGACGATCCATAGAATTTGTTAATTGTAGGATGTCATCTGCTGTTATGCCGCGAGATATGTCAAGAATTGCTTCCCACAACTCAGCGTTGCTCCTGAATTGTCGTCCGTTGGCGTACAGTCTTCGCTTCATGATACTCCAAAGGTTTTCGATTGGGTTCAAATCCGGAGAATTTGCTGGCCACTTCATTTTTCGAGGTCCATCGAAGCCTAACTGTTTCAAATATTCATTAGTCTTGTGAGCAGCGTGTGAGGGAGCATTATCTTGCATAAAAACAATGGCCCTTCTGAAGGCAAATCCTGCATAAACGCTATGTATGCATCAGCAGTCATTTTGACGCCATCTGGTACTCTCCATGGGCCCAGTAATGTTTTTCCAATAATACCACCCCAAATCATTATGCCTCCACCGTCTTGTTGGCGTCTCAAACGCTGATGGCGATTCTGTCCGTTCATTACCCAGCCTTTGAACCATCTATCTGGCCCATCAAGTGTTGCTCGAGTTTCGTCTGTGAACAAAACTTTAGAGAAGTCAATCTTCATATTGACCTCGGCCCATTTCAATCGATTTTGAAAATGATTTCTCGTCAACGGAGGCTTCGATACAGGTTTGACTGTTGTTGCTATTTCCCTCAGATACCGACACCGAGTACTTTTAGACACAGTAGGATCCCCAATACGACTGCAAAGCTCTTGACTGGTAAGTCCAGGGTTCTTCGTGGCCCCTCGATTAAGTCGTGACATGAGACGACGTGAAATAACACTCACCTCCCTTTATATGCCCTTTTGCGTACTTGTGTAGGGTCGGTGGTGAATTTTTCACTGTTTGATGACACCTCCCTATCCCTTTAAAAATGTCTAGGGTATATTTACCTTTTGAGAGTTTTGAGGTAATAGTTTTCTTTTCAGCATCAATTAAACTGCTTTTACGGCCCATCATTTCACTAAATTCTTATACTTTTCTAATAATTTGGCACGCTCAAATCACCGTGATGGTAACAAATATGGCGCCAGTTTGTTTACATTGCGCAGATCAGTATGAAAATTTCGATTAGTTCCATTTCATCCTCAAGCGAATTTCCATGAGGATGAAATGGAATTAATGTCTTTAATTTAATTACAAAATTAAATTCGGGGCTTTTAGCTTACATTTCTGAAACATGGTTAGAACTGTGTAGCGAAAAAACATTTTAAATCAATTAATTTTATAATTATATATATATATATATATATATATATATATATATATTTAAAGTGTATATATATGTTATGTTATGTTTTCTACTGGTTTTTCTTATCTGTATTGATCTCTCTCTCTCTCTTCCTATCTTTGTTTTTCCATAAATATTTACGTCTCTCTCCTTTCATATATATTACCTAACTCTTTATATCTATATTTATTTCTCTGTGTTTTAATCTCCATCTTTTTTCATATATTTCTATATACTTCTTTTCTTATCTGTTTTCACACCTATTTATCTACCTCTTTTCATATCTATATGGCTTTTATTACTTATCTATACCTCTTTTCACATCTATCTATCTTTTTTATATCTGTCTTTTCACATCTGTTTTATATCTATCTACTCCACTATCTCTTTTCATATGTATCTTTTTTTCCATATCCCTTTACCTCTTTACATGTCGAGCCAGTTATCTACCTCTTTTCATGTCTAGCCAGTTATCTACCTCTTTTCATGTCTAGCCAGTTATCTACCTCTTTTCACGTCTATCTCTTTTCATATCGCTCTCATTTAATATATATCTTTTTATTAACATCTTTCCTTATTTGTCTCGTTTTATATCTATCATCTTTCATGTATACCTATCTCTCTTTTGATATCCATTCATTTACTAATTTTTGTCTCTTTTCATATCTATACCTTTATTTATATCTTCTCAGATAGACCTTTTCCTTTATTCATCTCTTTTCATATCGATCTCTCTCTTTTCATATCTATCTATTGATGTGTTTATCTCTTTTCATATATATCTATTTCTATCTCTTTTCTTATGTATCTCTTCATATCTCTCTAAGACTTCTCATATTCATCTATTTTTAACAATTATTTTGATCTGTTACAAGTTTTAGTCAATCACCTATGTTTCTAAACCAACCCAAATCATTAATCACGACTTTCAGTTCGCCATTTTTTAAAACTCTATTACTCTATTCTTTCTTTCATGCATTTCACACGTCATTCGTCTTTCAAATATTTTTCCTTGAATATTTCATTCCGCCTTGCTTTAGCAGTTGATTCCGATTAATATATTTACTGTAAATATTTCACCTACAAAATTAAAAAGTCTAGAATATCAGAGCCTGTTTTCAATCACACAACTGGAAACAAATGAAAAGAAGAAAAAAAAGATTTTAATTAATTGTATGTAAATATTTTGGAGTATCTGTTATTAATGTAGTGTCTTTTTATTGCCATTATGCATTAATATATGCTTTTAGCGACTTGCCTTTGAACCACCAGAGTCTGCTTTAATGAAACAATTCCCATATTACTTTACTCCTGGCTCTCACTAACGCTAATTATTTAGAAAATCTACATTATCATCTGTTATCCTTTTTCTAACTATCTATCTTTGTTCATTATCTATCTATATATCTATCTTCATTATCTATCTATATATCTATCTTCATTATCTATGTTCATTATCTATCTATATATCTATCTTCATTATCTATCTATATATCTATCTTCATTATCTATCTATATATCTATCTTCATTATCTATCTATATATCTATCTTCATTATCTATCTATCTTCATTATCTATCTATCTTCATTATCTATCTATCTATCTTCATTATCTATCTATCTATCTCCGTTCATTATATATCTCACTAGGAATGTATGAATAATTATGTCTATCAAGTGCGCGCATTCTGTGTAAATAGTACCCACACTGAATAAAATGTTGAAGCTTAATTCTGAATTATAAAACAAGTAAAAGATTTTCGAATTTGGTGTTGACTTATAACTAAGTCACTAAGAAACTAAATTTTAGTGCATTTGTGGGTTATCCCAGTTAATGTTGCGAAAGAAAAGTCTCCTTAAGCCTATAAAAAGGTATGCATTTCTCTCCCTAGTCTCTTTTACAACCTTTCAGCTGAGGCTATAAGATGTAGTCACACGTCGGTAAAAAGTCTTCCCCATTGGGGCACATTCATTTTAATCGTTTTACCTTTGGACTTTTTCTACTCCCTCCACACATTCACGCGCACACAATCACATTCCTATTATACTCAGTTTCATATTTTTGTCCTTTCGTCAAACGTAATTCCTTTTATAAATTCAAGAATTGTCGTTTGTTTTATATTTATTGTTTTGTGTTACACATATTTTTACTTGCACTCACATTAAGTCCGTGTTTGTGGGATAAATTTTCCAGGGGTCCGTATATATTTACTATCCAAAGTATTGATTCTGGCAACATAATGTTGACTTAATATTTATCCAATCGTACTGGCAACCCACGACATACTAAATTCGATGTATATTACAGTAAATAGTTTACATTTCTATATTTTATTTACATCAGTGTATATAATATACGTCAGACAAGGAATACTTGTTCTTTTAAACTCCTATATGTATTACGCGTCATGTGCCGAGGACGTTGCTCACAGTCACGTTTGATAACAGACAATAGGAGCTACAGAACTATTTTTGCCTCATATTAAAACTGAGTTTTCTTCTTATAAGATTTTTGTTGCTAAAGGTTTTTTCATTTTGTTAACTTTTGTTAATTTACTTTATAAATGATAACAGATTGCGTACCCTGGAAAATTACCCACGGTGCGTACTTCGTATAAAACAGTACCCCTCTTTGTTGACAGATTTTCAATGGCGTCATTTTTTCTTTCTTATAGTGAAACTTGTATAGAGGGCACTCCGGTATAAGGTCCGGGAGCCGTTCAAGGTAGAGGTTTACAGAGTAATAGGCACAGTTTATGCGGACTTGTGGGGGAGATAACGGTTAATAACTACGTTAGGAAAGACTTGGCCAGACTCTTCCAGTGATTCCATAGAGAGAGAATTTGCGAAGCAACATTTTGAGCCACAATTCGTCAAAAACCTTTGAGATATCTAAAGCTATGATTCTTTAGATGTATTTGTTGTTTAGTGCTCTACTGATTCTGTGAAAAACGACAGTTAGTCTATGAGTAATGCATCGGGTCGATCGAAACCCGTAGTGCTTGTCACTCAAGAGGTTGTTTCTGTTTAGGTGATCAATAAACTTCTTGTTGATTATAATCCCAAAAAGCTTGCTAATTACACTAAAGAGACTGACGGAGGATTTTTCATGCATCGCGTTTTTACGCGTCAGTTTGTAGTTCCGTTGTTTCTTTTTTTAATTATGAGATATATTCAATAAAGAATCCACAAAGCTGTGAATATATAGTCATTGAAACGCAGCACGGAAAGACAATGAGCGCCTACAGACACAATACTATTATGGATTGGTTTTATTTGATTTTGCCACACTATCAACCTATTATTTTCAACACATCAACAATTATTTGCAAATGACTTATGAAAGCCGAAAGAGCTTAGGATATATTGGACAATGTGCGAAAAAAAAAAAAAAAAAAAAAAAAAAGAGGGGACGAATCACTAGAAAATTAAATTAAATAATAATCTTGAACTATTACACACACACATATATATATATATATATATATAAAACAGCTGGCCACTCGAATTCGAAAATAGCCGTCTATTAGGGCGGCTAACCAATCCCTATTGCAGACGCTCGCTCAGGCAAATTTGTGTTTGCTCAAAACCCACAGAGCTCAGCTGTGGTTTATAGTGCAACTGGGAGAGAGCGTGCTCTCTAGCGTGATCAACAATTTGAACAAAGCCAGAACGCTGAAGCCCTCGCCCACGATGTGGCTTCTGTGCTAGCAAAGGCCGATCCCAAGTGTTTCGTTTACCCAATTTCACTCACAAGACTTGGGTCGACGCATGGTATTGTTTTTCAGGCACTTCCCAAAGATGCCGCACGTTGGGATCAACCTCGATCCAGTCCGTTAAGAAAGTAGCCATGGTGGGATTCGTACGTTCTAACCACTGGCCCATAAAATAAATCTTTAATATTAATTCTTATATATATATATATATATATATATATATATATATATATATATATATATATATATACGAGTGATTTATTTAATAGATAGGCACGTGGCAGAGTGGTTAGAATGTTCGCATCTCACCACCATACTCGATTTGCCAGGAAGGAGAGTTCCTGGTTTTCGGTGCATATTTAAATATAAATCAACGGCAAATGAAAGAGGTCAAAACTTCAATAAATTTTTTTATGAATTTACTTGCCCACTTGGAGAATGTCTCTCTAATATTAATAATAATTCAAGACTACATACATTGTTTACACAACAACTGCATTATCGCCCCGATTAATATGACGTTTATCTCAAAATGGATATATTAAATCTTATATCACCAACAAAATAAAACCACACGGAATCCGACAAATACTTATCAAATGTCACTTGTCATAAATATACTATATTATAAAACGTTAACAAGTACATATAGTAGAAGCATTACGCATAAAAGATAAAATAAAAGCAAACATCTTAAAAGCAAGAAAATGACAAACACTTTAGACTTGAATATAAACCCATGAAAAACGATACAGTCCACAAATAGAGGAACAACTTTACTACGTTCTACTGTGCAATTCGACTTACAAACTCCTGGAGGCAATCCTATCCGTAAATAAGAGCATTCTTTTATGCGTCCTTGTAGACATTTAGACTTGCATATGGACCTCTGAAACTGATCCTGTCCGTAAATAGGAGAATTCATTTATTAGGTTCTTGTGGACTTGCATATGAACCTCTGAAACTGATCCTGTCCGTAAATAGGAGAACTCATTTATTAGGTTCTTGTGGACTTGCATATGAACCTCTGGAACTGATCCTGTCCGTAAATAGGAGAACTCATTTATTAGGTTCTTGTGGACTTGCATATGAACCTCTGGAACTGATCCTGTCCGTAAATAGGAGAATTCATTTATTAGGTTCTTGTGGACTTGCATATGAACCCTGAAACTGATCCTGTCCGTAAATAGGAGAACTCATTTATTAGGTTCTTGTGGACTTGCATATGAACCTCTGGAACTGATCCTGTCCGTAAATAGGAGAACTCATTTATTAGGTTCTTGTGGACTTGCATATGAACCTCTGAAACTGATCCTGTCCGTAAATAGGAGAACTCATTTATTAGGTTCTTGTGGACTTGCATATGAACCTCTGAAACTGATCCTGTCCGTAAATAGGAGAACTCATTTATTAGGTTCTTGTGGACTTGCATATGAACCTCTGGAACTGATCCTGTCCGTAAATAGGAGAACTCATTTATTAGGTTCTTGTGGACTTGCATATGAACCTCTGGAACTGATCCTGTCCGTAAATAGGAGAACTCATTTATTAGGTTCTTGTGGACTTGCATATGAACCTCTGAAACTGATCCTGTCCGTAAATAGGAGAACTCATTTATTAGGTTCTTGTGGACTTGCATATGAACCTCTGGAACTGATCCTGTCCGTAAATAGGGAGAACTCATTTATTAGGTTCTTGTGGACTTGCATATGAACCTCTGAACTGATCCTGTCCGTAAATAGGAGAACTCATTTATTAGGTTCTTGTGGACTTGCATATGAACCTCTGAACTGATCCTGTCCGTAAATAGGAGAACTCATTTATTAGGTTCTTGTGGACTTGCATATGAACCTCTGGAACTGATCCTGTCCGTAAATAGGAGAATTCATTTATTAGGTTCTTGTGGACTTGCATATGAACCTCTGAAACTGATCCTGTCCGTAAATAGGAGAACTCATTTATTAGGTTCTTGTGGACTTGCATATGAACCTCTGAAACTGATCCTGTCCGTAAATAGGAGAACTCATTTATTACGTCCTTCTTGACATTCGGACTTGCATATGAACCTCTGAAACCGATTCTGTTCGTAAATAGGGGAACCCATTTATTACCCACTCCTCCGAAACGACCTTGTTCGTAAGTCAGACAGCTCTTGTAATATAATTTCCTTTTTGGATCCATCTAAGAACCGTTGTGTTTCAGTCAGTATTGCTAACGTTACTGTAGAAAAGGCAAATGTTACAGATTATCAAACGTTGGCAGACACACAATCAATCGTTGGGTAAAGGAGAAAATAAAGACTAATAAGTTGTCAGAGGATATTTATTCATTTGGCGGTTGTCAAGCATGAGTAGGTTTGTTTTATTTATTTCAGTGCTATTGTGTTTGGGTAGACATTTATACGACACAAGTCAATTGGCAGAAAGCAATAAAAGCTATGGGCGCATCTAAATATACATCGTATCGCCTACGCGATATACGTCACGGAAGAGAATGAATATCGATATAAGCATAAAGCAATTTAGAAATCAAAGAATTTTAGAAGAAAATAACACCGCCCACGCACAAAATCAAATCTCAGACACACGCATATATATATATATATACTATCGTGAGAGTTTTCGATGTTTTTAACACTGGTACTTGCTGCCTAAAGCAAAAAAGAAAAATCTACTGGCAACTAAAATCGACGTTTTTATGTGAAACATTTATTGAAAATATAACATACAAACGAAGCATTTGAAAAACAACAGGAGTGTCCAATATCTAACCTAAGCATTCGAATAATGATTTTTGAAACACTCAACGCAGAGTAGTGGTTTGTCTACAAAAATGACGCACAAGTACCCTTTTTTTTCACTGTAATCTGTTCTTTTTTTTTATAGGCTGTATCTTCACAGTTGGTGCTATAGCTTATAAAGAATGCTGTTTTCCAGTATCCATTTTTG